ATTATTATTAACTTGTTCGGGAAGAGTAAATTTAACTTTGAACCTTTTTCCTTTAAACTCGACGGTAATTTGTTGATCTTTATCTGGAAGAACGTTAAAGTCAGGAGGAGCGCAATCATCAATATAATTATAGGACATAGAATTTGTAGGTTGTATGATAAATGAACCGGTATTTAACGATTTTGTTTGTTGAGAGGTCATCCAAGACAGAGCTTCGTAAATTGGATTTGGGTATGGATAACCATAGGTTCCTGCGATATAATATTCAACCTGAGCTGTAACAATTTTTCCCGTTCTCCATGAACCTTCTTTAAGGATAGAATAAGTTACCGCGAATAATGCAAGGATCAAAGCGCTGATTCCTGTAGCTAAAACGTTTGTCAAAAACATATCGACAGCCATTATTCCGGGCAGGTATGATCCTAATTTTGTTGGGAGCCATGCAAAAAGCATTGATTGCACTTGCGATTGAGTGAATAAACCAACGAAAGGTTGAAAAATAGAGGAATAATTAGTCATTTTGTTATTATTATATTGAATAGAATTGATTTATATGTATAAGTTTTATATGTATTTATTATTATTTTTTTTTTTTTGTTATTTGGGACTCGCTTTTATTATTATTATTCTCTGAATAAAGATTGATCCTTTATGTGTTGCGGTTATTTGATCAAGATCAAGCGTATTTATATTTTATTTTTTTTCTTGGCTTCGTCGAACACCGATACATATCATAATGAAAGAAAAGAATGAAGGATTTTTGGAAAGATAAGCCCTGTTCAAACGATCAACATTTTTGTATGCTTAAAATTCGGCTTTCAGTTTTTTGCTGTGCCAATGAATCTTGATATGATTTTTGTATATCTGCCAAGAAAATTCCATGCTGGAGCAGGTGAAGGATCGTACATTTGGCTGAGAGGCTTGTTACTCACCTTATTAAATTAATTCAGATTAGCTGATTTTATGAGATAACGATAAACGCAATTTTTTTTTTAAAAAATTTGCCGCGTTTAATTTAAAATGTCTAACTCAAATTCTACCTTTCGTTCAATTGCCCCAACACCACAAGAATTTTTTATACAAAATCCAGACATTATAGCTGTAACAACCTCCAACTCAGTTTTACAATTAAAGTCTTAATAACCGGTCGGATACTTTTTATTGGGGAGTGTATTTACATCATTCGGTCTAAATAAAGTACAAAATGAAATACTACGCATAATGTAATATGTTCCGATCCGGATTTTCACAAAATTTTTTTTAGCCAATTAAAATCAGAATGAATTGTTCCGTAAATTAAAAAAGGATATAGATCTCCGGCGGCGAAATTTCGCAAATCTGCCGGAGTTTATTTTAAAAATCTGCGGCTTATCATCATTCTGCGGATAACAAAATTAATTTTATTATTTTAATTGCCTTTAAAATGTATCATATTTAATTTTTTCAAAGAATCTTCTGAATAGAGATTCGATCCGATTTTTCAGGGGTAATTCGGATCAAATTTGAGTTCCTTGTGTTATATCCGATTTGCAATTCGAATTAAAAACTTTACGGATGCATACCTAAATTCGGATTCCATTCGTAAATCTATAACAATTCGGATTAATCACATATTGTTACGACTTACGAATTTACAATACTAAAAATTCATAATTAAATAAAAACGAGCATTTTTTAATTTGTAAAATATATTTATATCAGCATTATTTATTGTTTGGCAATTACATACTCAAAAAAAATATTTTTTTCTAATTTATCTCAATATGACTTGTTTCATTTATTTTATCTTCGTTCCCATCATCCCATTCTGACGCAAAAACCTCCATTGTTTTAATATTTCTCTTTAAAAATAACATTTGGCTCACTAAATTTGTATCTAAATTTGTTCTTTTGGCACTAATGAGATTACCAGCATCCGAAAATAAGCTTTCACTGATACTGATGTTGCTGATATAGCAAGGTATTTTCGGACAATTTTGCTAAGTTTGGGAAAATTCTGCAGACATAATCTTTATTATATAATATATTTATACTATATTTTATTTTATCTTATTTATATTCAGGAAATAAATATCCAAGAATAGGAATATTTTATTCCGTTTGAGCTGAGGTCTCCACCAATCTAAAGGATTTTCCGTTTCTAATGCTATTGGTAATGACAGATAATTTGTAATTTCATCTTGAATTATACTTGGTGCTATCTTTTTATTTTTGTTTTTCGCTGTTGACGATAAGCTTTATGTGAACGTGTTGAGGATCCTATATCAATATTTGACGGAGTTTGATTATTTGGTGGATCAGAATCACAAGTTATCTCATTAAATTCATTGCGAAGATTTTGGATGATTCGTTGCTTTTCATCATCCTCTAAAAAATCTAAATTTTTATAGCAAGGGTCTAACAAGGCTGCCATTAATCCAATATCATATTAAAAATCCCAATAATATATTAGCGCACTGTAGAGATTTTGTTTTACCTTTTCCAAAATGCCTGTTGTATTTAATGGATTTTTAATTGAAATCTTTTTTTTTGTAATATTACTCACAACTTCATCATCATCATCATCAAAGTTAAGTATCTCTGAAGATTCTGATCCAAATACAGTATCTTCGTTTGAAAATTCATCATTATCTATTAATCTTTCAGTAGCTAAATCAAAAATCATTTTTTTAATAGTTGGGATAATCCAGCTTAAAGTAACATATGAATTTCTGGATAATTCACAAGTTAATTCTTCAAATGGTAAAAGTAAATCAACAAGTTGGTTCAGTAACTTCCATTCATCTTCAGAAAGCAAAATTTTCTTTAATCTTTTACTATCTTTCTTAATCATTTGATCAGTTGATGTAAATAAATCAGTTTGAAGTTGAGTAATAGCATCCTTTAAAAAATAAAGGCAGTCCCAAGCATAATATGTTTAATTCTAGCATATAGGCACATCCTGAATACAGTGCATAATATCTGAATAACCAAGTTTTCTTTGTGCCCCCTCTAATCTTTCCACTTGTTTCTGAAATTTAAAAAACTAATTAGCCTTTTTGCACAAATTACTAAAATTTCTACTAGAACTAATCCTTTTTCAACTACCAACTGTAAGGTATGTGCTGTACAAAAAAGACGCTAAATATTTTCACACCTATTTTTTTTGTTTAATAAAGAAAAAGCTGATACCATATTTGATTCATTATCAGTGGTAATAGATGTTACATGATTTTCAAGCTTTCAAGTTTCAATACATTTATGAAATTCATTAGTAATAACTTTGCTTGTATGTAAAGAAAAAACATATTTGATTTTTAGCATAGTATCTTTAATTTCAAAACTTAATGTAATTCAAGTTACAGTAACTTTTAGATATCTATGTTTGGTTCTACTGGACCAGAGATCTATAGTAAGAGAAATATTGCTATTAGTTATGGTAAGAAAATTTTGCAAATTTTGCCAGTTGTATTGATAACTTTTAGTGATTATTGTTCTAATTTTTTTTCTCCTGAAACGACAAAAGAAGGATCAAATTCAGCCATTTTTTCTTTATAGACTTTATTAATAACTGTAGAAAAAGGTTAATTTGTAAACAACATCTACTTGAGAGTTATTTCTTTACCTCTTTTTTGAATATGTTTAGAATGGGAATGAAAATTCGTGTAAAATCAGTAATCTTGAAATTTTGTAACTAAAAATAAATAAATTCTTGTGAGTTTCAATTAATTTAACAATACTATATAATAGGTATACTTACAATACCTTTTTTGAAATAGTATTATCATCTTACGAAATAATTTTATATTTATTCTTAAGATATGCAATAAGATTTCCTGTTGAACTTTCAGAAATTTTATATTCTTAGCTACATTTTTTACCACTCTCATCCAAAATATTACAGATTTGAAAAATTTCACCTTTATCATTAACTTTCTTTTCAAAATATTCTTGAGTAAATAATGACTTTTATATTTGTATTTACTTTTACTTTTAGAACTAGCAAGTAATGATGCGTTACTTTCTTTGCCTAAAGTAGATAAATAAGAAATTATTAGCAAATAAATACTGAAAATTATATTGAAGTAAGTTTACCTTTATCTAAAGACCTTTCAGAAAATGAAAGTGTTATCTGAATATTAGATAATCTTCTAATAGTTAGCAGTGAATGAAAGGTTTTATATAAATTTCTTGAACTTTCAGATGCTGATTTTGTTATTCCTAAGTAGAAGCTGATATTTCATAATCAAAATCTCTTCTAGGATAATAATCATTGTCATCTGCCATTTTTTTAATATTTTTGAATTAGTAGAAAAACTAGTAGAGAAATTAAGATTTAGAACAAAAATAGAGATAACATAATAAATCATAGAAACAGCTTATTATCTTATTTTAGCATGTTTTCACATTGTGAATTGCTTCAATATAAA